CCTCCGGGGCAGGCGGGGATCGAACTCATGCAGAAGTGGCTTAAGCTTCTTAGTGCTGTGCTTTAACCCACTGCGCCACCAGGGAGGGCCAGGGTCTGGGATTCTTAAACCACACCCTTCTCTCTGTCCTCAACACTTCCCCATGCCTCTGACTCTATTCTCCGTTCCTCCAAAGTCCCCAGTAGAAAAGCTGGGACAGGGCTGGGGCAGGATGCAGAGCAGGTAAAAACCTGTGGGACTGGGCTCCTAGCTGGTGATGTTCAACTTCATCTCACACACCCAACGGCGCGACAGCAGGCAGAAGTTGTCGTTCCAGCGGCCATCCCACCTCAATTCAGCGCAGTCCTCAGTTCCACCCACCTCATGCCCCGTCCAGTCATCCGGCTGAGTGGGAGCCCAGTTCCTAAGGGGGCAGGACAGAGCTCTGAGCACCCTCCCTCCCAGCGCCCCACACCTCCACCTCACCTTGGGGTCAGGGTACAGAGCTGTAGCCTTGGAGGTTGGAAGTGTGAGGGAGAGAGGGTAGGAAATGTGGTCCCTGCAGGGCGAGAGGGAACGTCAATACTTGTATTGGGGTGAAAGACCAGATGCCCAAGGCCCCAAGGCCGGAATAAGGGGGCGGGGAGACCTGCCTGTAGTTAAACCTATAGTCTGTGCCATCCACCCATCTCCAGGAGCCATCGCTGTCCGTGAGGCCTATCCAGGTTTGGAAGGGGTCCGTGCGCTGTGTGATGAATTTCTGGAAAACAGACCAGGGTGGGGTTGGAGGCAATTCCAGTCCTCCACACAGGCATCAGCTGTGCTTCCCCCCGCCCTCCCCAACCTAATCCGCTCCCAGGCGGAAGCATGAGCTCCCACCACTGCTAGCCCTTGTTTTTCTTCTGCAGCTTTAGCTGCTGTCAGGTGAACATCCACACACTGGGCTGGAACACAAGCTAAATGCTTTAAGGGGTTACTTTAGTTAATCCTCAGGAGGCCTTCTAAATTGTGTGGCTTAATGGGCCACACTTTACCCACGAGCCCACAAAGTCTGTCTAGTGCCTGAGCTCACAGTCTTCCTTTGGTTAAAATAAAAGATCGTAATAAAGCAAGCCTAAGCCACGTCCCGGCATGCTCACCTGCTCTTCCCTGGAGTTGATGACCACCAGGTAGGCGTTCTCCAGCCGGCAGTACTTCTCAGCCTCCAGCCAGGTCTTGCCAGTGCGGGAGAACCAGTAGCAGCTGCCTTCATACTCCACCCAGTTCACGGGGCAGCATTCTGTGCCTGAGGAGAGCGTAGTGGGAGGTGAGGTCCTGCTGGAGCGGACGGGCACAAAGGGACCAGAGACCGCCGCTGCCCCTACCGTTGCTCCGGACGAAGGCCATCTGGCAAGCCAGGGTGCGCAGATCTACTGAGAAGTGCTTCAGGTGGAGGAGCAAGCCGGAATGGTCTAGGGCGGCAGGTGACGGGCAGTGACGTGGGCAGTGTTCCTCTGCCCCTCCACCCCAGGACCCAGCACAGGCCTTTGGCTCTGGACACATGCACAGCACTCTCGCAAAGCACTCACCCCACAGGGAGCACACCTCTCGCACACTGCCCGGGGTTTCACACCTGTTTTCAGGTCCAACAGCTCTTTCACCACTTTGGTTTCCAGAGATGTCACTTTATTATCAGAGCTGCCTCCTGAAAAAAGGGGAAGGGGGAACTGAGCTTTCCTCCCTGTTCCGTTTCCTGAACACCTGTCCACACTAACCTTGCTGGGGCATAGTCCCAGCCACCGTCACCTTGACCAGGATGTTGCAGTCCCCACCCCCTGACCTCCCCAACTCATAGGCAGCGCCCTAAGCTGCCACAATTTCTGGAGCTCACACCTGCTCAGGTCACTCTCCTGTTTGTCCCTTCAGTAGGTCCCCCCTTCCTCAAAGTAAAGCCTCACATCATCAGTCATTAACCTGCATGACCTCTCCCCAACCGGCTCCTCACCACCTTGCTCTGCCTGGCTGGAGTTGTTTACAGTCGCCCTCACACCCTGGGGCGCAGCTTTGTTCTCCCTACCTGGCACTATTCTCCACCCTCTACCCTACCTGCCTCTCCCCACCTCATCCCTCAGCTCAGATTCAGTGCCCCTGCAGCTTGCCCAGTATCCCAGGCTGGGCCGGCTGCCCCCAGCCTGCAGCCCACAGCACCAGACATGTCCCTAGGCAGACCCAGTGCGGAGGGAACCTGGCCATCAGACCCACACAGCCCCCCTTCGGGAGCGCCCACTCACCATGGAAGCTCAGCGCCTCCATCTGCATCAGGGTGCTAGAGGAGAAGTTGCTGAGCTTTTCTCTTAGGGTCCACAGCTCCATTTGCATCTGGGCTCCTTGTCAGGAGACAGTGGGAACACTGAGAGCCCCCATGGTCATCTGTGTGCCTGACCCCACACTACCCCACCCCTGCCCCCATATTTGCCCCAGCACTGCCTGCATCTCTTTCCCCATCCCTCCTGGCCCCTGTGACCCTCACTCTGGGACCCGATCACGCAGGTGGCCACCAGCAGCAGGATATTGAAGCTCAGGACAAGCAGACTGAGGCTGTGCCTGGAGCAGAAGCGCTGTCGCAGGAGGGGCTGGGGCAGGCTTGTCCCTGCAAGACAAGGGGAGCCAGGAAGAGGGGCGTCAGAATGGGGTGCTGAGGAAGTATAACTGAGAGTGGTGGGGGAACTAGATGTGAGGGGCAGCTTTGGGGGAGTCAGGGGCTTTGACCCAGCCTGTGAGCACTGCACACGCATCATGCATTTGCACGCTGGTATCCACCAGGAATACTGCCTATTCCCATCTGCCAGACTCAAAAACTAGGAACTAGGTGTTCTTGCCTTGGGAATATTCTGGGCCCACCTAATCATAAAAGTGAGACCCAAGCGAATCAAATTGATTCCAAGTTATTTAACTGCATTCCAGAACAAAGCTCAAGCATATGTAGAGCAATACACAGATAGCGAGCGCCCAGCAAGGTGAAATTCACAGTGTCTGTCTGGGAACCAATCAAGGGTTGGAAGGAGCCAGAAACACAACTCATAGCAGGAAGTTAATAATCTATCTAAACTCACCAGAACTGATGCAGATGACAGAATTAGCAGAGAAGAACAAAAAACAAATATTAAGCTAAAAAAAATCCCAGATATTATCATTGTATTCAGATGTTTAAAAATTGTTCAAAAATGAAGTAGAGTCATGAAAGATATATAAAAACCCCAAGATGAACTTCTTGACAGGAAAAATACAATATCTGAAAAGGAAAATGTGTTAGGTAGAATCAATGGAAGATTGACATACATAAGGTAAGAATTGTGAACCAAAAAAAGCCATATTAAAAAACTCAAAAGCGGGCCCTCCCTGGTGGCGCAGTGGGTTAAAGCACAGCACTAAGAAGTTAAGAAGTTTAAGCCACTTCACATGAGTTCAATTCCCGCCTGCCTGGGAGGAGATCCACATGGTACGGCAGACCTCTCCTGACCCGCCCGCTGCTCCCCTCAGCAGTGTACTTGTCGATCTGCCTGATCTGTACCCCACTCTGTCTCTGGTGATTCCTCTCACCCTCCGCATCTCTGGCCTGGACCCCAGTTCTGTACGAATAAATAAATAAATCTTAAAAAAAAAAAAAAACTCAAAAGCAAAAAGGTAAGTCCATCAGCGTGCTATGGGACCATGACTATGCGCGTATCTGAACTCCCTTCAGGAAAAGGGGCAAGGGAAGACAAAAAATATTTGAGAAAATAATGACCGGCGAGGTTATTTTCAAATGTGCTGAAAACTATGGACATGTCAACTGGGGGGCGAGGGCAGGAGGACCCAGCGGGCATTGGGCGTGGACAGAGGCCATCTTCAGTGAGCAGGCCCTCCCGGGAGGCAGAGGCTGCTGGAGAGAAATGACTGGCGGGACCCCACTCAGACTGGCCCGGACCCCACTCAGACTGGCCCGGACCCCACTCAGACTGGCCCGAACCCCACTCAGACTGGCCCCTCTGTGTTGTCAGTCAGGTCTTTGGGGTGAGCTCCCCTCCTGAAAAGATTAAAATCGCTGCACTCTCTCCAAACCTCCTGCTTCAACTCTGAATCCTCTCTCCTGGAGAAGAGTAGAGAACATCCGAAATCATTTTTGAGTGTCACCATCTACCAGGCATCCCACAGGCACAGAGGATGCAGGGGATGAGGCACACCAGCGCCTGCTCCCGGTGGAAGGCCCCATGGCCATTGGTGCTTCCCAGACTCCCACCCCCCATCAGCTCACACACCCTGCCCAGAAGAGAGACCTGCCAGGGTGGGGGTGTGGCCCCTCCTCCCAGCCCAGGCTTGCCGACCCCCTCCCTGAGCTCTGAGCCCCAGCACCTCCTGTCTCCACTGGCCAGGCTCCATCCCTGCACCCACATTGACACCCATCCCCCAGCCCTGACTCCTGCCCTTCAACCTAGAACAGCACAAATCTCTCCCATGTTAAAATTCTTCCACAGACACTTGGGACCTTTAGTCAAGATTTGCTGCAGAAGGATTCGGGCAGGGGAGCTGGGAGGAGGATGGTGAGCTTCCCAGGACCTCCTGTGCCCCCAGTCAAGCCCTGCCCAGACCCTCACACGTGTGCTCTTGCACACACCCGCATGCACACACACACAGCACACAGGTTGGAAGGAGAGGGGAAGAAGCCCTCCCCAGCTCCTACTTATTCCCGGCTCTGACACCCCGCTTTCCTGGGGCCCTGCAGGTGGAGAGGAGGCGAGGTAGGGGGCAAGCAGAGGCATCAGGCACCTCACACCCCAGGGGCCTTGTCCCTGCGCGGAGAGAATGTGACAGAGACCACAGATAGAGAGCCATCGGGAGCCAGGGAGAGGTGGTGCGAAGCCCAGGCACTGAACACTTGCCTTTCCAGAATGGGTCCTCTTTCCTGGGGTTGTACTCATGCGTTCCTGGCCTCTCGCCTCCACCCAGCTGGTGGTCATCTTCTTCAGGGTCCAGCTGCTGGATGTCTTGAAAGTCCTTCTCCATGTTGACCCAAGCTGGAGCTGGAGCTGGTGGGTTCGGTCTGGGTTAGGACTGAGTTCAGGGCTGATGCCAGTGCTCAGATGCTAATTCAGAGGAAGGCAGATGGTGGACTTGAATATAACCTCTGAGCGGGCCGAGGCCATGACCTGAGTTACGTCTGAGTTGGGAAGTGAGTGTGGGGGGGGAATACACTGGTGCCCACCCTTCCCCGGCCACTCAAGATTTGACCCAGCAACGACCCTTCACCTCCACACTCTCAAACCACTCTCCCCATCTGGCCTCTATAGTGCCTGAACCAGAGTCTTCTTAATCCCAAATATTCCCAGTCCCACATGCCTCCCCAACCTGGGTTACCTGTTCAAGGTGTGGGGGCTAATCCCTAGGTCCCTCAGGGAACCTGGACCCCAGGGCAAAGGAGAGGCTGAGGTTGGAGAAGAGGGCGGGCAGTGCTAGCTGAGAAGAGAGGTGGGGGTGACCCAGGAAGAGCCCTGAGCCCGTGTGTCTGTCGGAATGTTTCTACCCTGGTATCTCCTGCCTCTGGGACTTTGGACAGTAAATAGAAGTCGAAATGGAGTTGGGACACACACACAGTGTAGTGGGGGCGGGGCAGCACCGTCTCTGCTCCCCCCCCCTCCCCGGGAAGGGGACCTCCTACTCATCCCACACGCAGGCCAGTCCTTCAGTCCTTATCGCACAGGTTAGGAGGGAGGCTTAGCCAGAAAGGGCAGGGGTACAGTTTCCTGTTTCCCTCCTGCCCCTCCCCCTTCCACATCCTGCCTCTGAATTTCCCAGAACTGTGGTGTCTCCAAATATCCCTGACCGGGACCAGAGGGACCCAATCGCACCTCTTACCCAATCCAGGCCTGTGACCCTGGCAGGCCCCAGCTTCCTGTAGGTTCAGCCACCAGGCTGCCCAGCTCAGGCCTGCCTGGCTTCACTGTCCTGGGAAGGAGACCCCTCCAGAACCAGAAGGGGAAGTAGCAGGGGAAGGAGAGAAGAGCGTCATAGAGGCATCTTCCCCTGCAGCAGTTCAACCTCCGTAAGCAACTTCCATGGTCCGGGCAACACACTTGGCCTTCACACCAACCACTGTTGTGAAGATCCACAGAAGTCACCTCACCTGTGAGCTGAAGTCACATCTTGGACCCCTCTCCCAGCTCTGAGAGGTGGGAAGGAAATTCAAAACTCTGGCACAGACTCAGTCAGAACTGTCTGGCCCATCTGTGAAGATGCTGACAGAAAAATCCACATGCCAGGCCCTCCCTGGTAGTACAACAGGTTAAAGTGCAGCACTGTGAAGCTGTCTGTCTGCAGCCACTGCAGCATGAGTTCAATCCTTGGCCAGAGAGCTGACCCACAGGGCGTAGCAGACCTTTCCCGTCTCGCCCCGCTGCTCCCCATTCTGTCTCTGGCAAATCTTCTCACCTCCCTGCATCTCTGTCCTGTACCCCAGTTCTTGCATGCATAAATAAATAAATCTTTAAAAAAAGAAAGAAAGAAATATCCGCCTGCCTGTAAGGACATGAAATCAGCAACTGCTCTGTCTGTTGCTGACCAGAAGGCAGTTAGAAAAACATGAAAACAAGGAGAACCCAACCAAGAATCTGAATGCAAGTTTAGGGTACCGTGTGAGGAAGGGTGCCTCCTTCCCTCTGTGGACAGACAGAACAACCGAGTCTGACACGCCAAACCCTGTGAATGAAAACCAGAAACCTTTATCAGAAACTAGCCTGTCAACCATTGCACCGTTTGACCTAAGAAAATTATTCTTCCCACCGTTCCTGAGGTCACTACATTCCAACTTGTGACTGGCAGAGGTGTTCCCTCAGAGTTGGGCTTATCAGACTGTGCCTGATTTCAGTTCTCATGAAGTCTTTGTCTAATTATCACTACTACCGGGATCATCTCAACCCAGATATGTAGCCCCACAGCAGAGCACCCCAGAACACAGGTGTTTTGCTGTTCCTGTTTCACAGGAGCCTCAGAGAAGCATGTGACTTACACACGGTAGAGGGAGAGGGATCAGGGAGATTGGGGGAAAAACAAGACAGAGGGGGAAAAAAGTCATACCTCAAAAGAGGGAGTCTTCACAGTCCTCTGAGGAAGATAGGGCTCCATGGACCGAGAAACATGATTAACTCTTACTGTCTACACTAGCAATAGCTTGGAAAAGAAAACACAGTTTTCACCCCTGATTTTCTGGCCCTCACCCATGGGCTGCAAGCTATGGGCAGAGTTTCTCTTCTAGAGCTGCCCTGTTTCCCTGATACTGGAAAGGGGCCTGTGCCTTTCTTAGGGTGACTCCCTGACACACAGGAAGCAGCCCCTTGCTCCAATGGACTCACATTCCTACAGTGACCAAAGCTTTGCTTTTTGACTGTGAACCAAGTAAGAGACACGTTCTACAGAGCAATCGCTCATGTGCAAACAGACTTTCTGTTCTCCTTTCTTCTGAATCCTCTGGCACGCAATAGATGCTCAACAAAGGCTAATGCATGAATGAGTGGTTGAAAGAATGCATGAGTGATTTTGGAGATATGGTATTGACATGGTTTCATAAAGCAACGCTTCCCTTAAACTGGCATTCATGACCAACTAAATCGAGTTTCCCTACCTATGAATGGGTCATGACATCAAGGTTGAAAAACTCCATGAATGACAACTTTGGTCATGGAGGAAAACTTCAGGGGTCAAGGTGCTTTGATGGCAGCCGTGGAGACGGCTATGGTGGCAGTGGGGAGGGCTGTTAATGGATTTGGTAATGATGGAAGCAATTTGGAAGATGATGGAAGCTACAGTGATTTTGGAAATTGCAACTATCATATTTTGGACCCATGAAAGGAGGAACTTTGGAGGCTGAAGCTCTGGAGCCTAAGGTGGTAGAGGCCGGTACTTAGCCAAATAAAACAACCAGGTGTTGGGGCAGGGGCTGCAGTAGCTGTGACTGTGGCAAACGTTTTTTATTAAACGCCGAGAAACAAAGCTTAACACGAGGGGAGAGTCAGAGAAGTGACAGGGAGGCTGCGGCTTAGGACAGATTTGTGAGCTCTGCCAAGTGGAGCAGTGTTGGGCCCTCACACTGGCAAAGAAGACACGTTTTAGATAGACCCGTGTGTATGGCAAAAACCTCAAGGGCTGTGTTTGTGACTAATTGTATAACAGGTTATTTTAGTTTCTGTTCTGTGGAAAGTGGAGAGCATTCCAACAAAGCGTTTTAATGTAGTTTGTTTAGTCCCCACGCTGATGATTACTAAATGTAATAGTCTGATCACGACGTTGGGTAAATGTCTTTTAAAAATGAAAAACAATCCTAGGAAGTCACAGTCTGGGCAGGGATGTGGTTTTAGTTCCAAGAACTTAACAAATGAATTGTCTACGGCTTGTCAAGTTTTACCAATTGCCATCCGGAGGTCCCGAGGTGGAGGAGGGGGAAATTCTCACTAGCCAACCACAGTGACTAAGCCAATTCTAAGTTTTAGGGTACAAGATCCCCACTTCTGGGGAGCTGGAACAGAGGAAATGAGAGCATACATAGGACAGAGGAAACAAGAGGATATACAGTATGTCTATTTGAAAGTCAGCATTTTGGACAATTCCAAAATTTCCTTATTATATCACATCACGTTTTCTTTGGGGGTCTTCTGCTTTGGGTTTTATTTGGTTGACTTTAATTTGCGGGATTTTTTTCAATACCTCAGGCACAGAAAGGAAAACTAGTCTTTTTTTTAAAGATATATTTATTTATGTATACAAGAACTGGGTATAGGCCTGAGGTGCAGGAAGTGGGGAGTCACCAGAGACAATGGGGAACAGGACAGGCAGCTGTACTGAAACACACTGCTGAGGGGAGCAGAGGGGGAAACAAAAGAGGTGTGTTGTACCATGGGGGTCAGCTCCCTGGCAGGGATTGAACTCCTGCTGCAGTGGCTGGAGTAGCTTGATGGTGCTGTCTTTAACCCTTGTGCCACCAGAGAGGCCCAGAAATCGCTTTTTTTTTTTTTTAAGATTTATTTATTTATGCATACAGAGCTAGGGAACAGACAAGAGGTGCAGGGCCAGTGAGCGGATTTACCAGAGACAAGTGGGGAGCAGAACAGGCAGATCAATGAAGTACACTCTGAGGGGAGGAGCGGTGGGGGGTGGGGGAGGGACAGGAGAGGCCTGCCACACCATGTAGGTCACCTTCCTGGCCAGAGGAACTTGTGCTGCAGTGACCGCTGATAGCTTCATAGCACTTTAACCCCTTGCACCACTGGGGAAGCCCAAGACCAGTTAGTTCTGTTCCTGAGTTTGATACCCAATCTTCCTCAGAAGTCTGAGCAAGACCTCCTCTAGCCGTATTAGTTTCTTTCCTCCATCCTATTTTCCCATAGTTTTTCTCCTTCCCAGCTAAATTGGCATCTTTGCCTTGCTTTGAAGGCTTTGGCTTCCAAAGATGGGAGCCAAACTTCTCTCCTCGTTGTACATGCAAATCATACCCCTCCCCCACCTTCCAGAGGACAGCACATTCTCCTTCCCGCTGACTCCAAACTGACCCTTTGACTTGCCCTGACCCACAGAAAGGACTAGAAGGAAGGCTTTACCAGTTCTGGACCTAGCTCTGAAGAGAAGTGGAAGTTTCAGTTTTCACTCTTGGAAGCCAGCTACCATGCTATGAGGAAGTTCCGTTAGAGAGCGGGAACTTGTGATCCTGGGGGTGAGCCACAGTGGAGAGAGGGGGGGGGGGGCCACACTGTGCAGCATGGTGGCAACACTCATGCAAACAAAGACTTCTGGGAGCCTCTGGCCAGCCCAGCCAACAAATGAATGCATCTACGCAAGTATGCTAACCAATACCAGTAGGCCCACAGGCCTAACCCTGCCCAAATTTCTCATCCAGAGAAGACTGAGGAATAACATATACTGACATTTTGACATGACAGGCTATGTACCCTCATTAAAAATGTGATGTAGTTTATATGTTCATTTTTATATGTACGTATAAATAAATGGGGACTTCTCTG